GGCAGAACAGAAAGGCAATAAAAAGACAGGTAACACAGGAGAAGGTCTCTCTCTCTCTCTCAGGGGAAGGACGGCAGCGAGTGGTAAGCTAAAGGCTGTTCACTAGTTAGTGCTCTGATCTCTTGGGCTTTTAACTCTGCTTAGCTCTGTGTTTCTTATTTAATAAGACCATTTAGAATTTCATCTACAGAACAATGAAAGACAGGTCAGTTTGGGGAGCTACAACCTACTCTTAGGATCATTCACACTCCAGAGAGAAGACCCTTGCACAAGAGCCCAGCCACCAACTGCTGGGTGACGATGGTGCCAGCAGAGTATGCTTGAGAAAGGATTGTGCTTGGAGCTGCTTTAAGGACTTCTCTGCCATCATGTTCCTAAGTACGTGCTGCTGACACTGTGGCATTTATCACTTGACTCTCCGACATCTCTAGATGAAAAAGAACAAGGCTTAGAGAAAGTTTGCACACAGACACCACATTGTTGGAAAGAAAATTCAGAGTTTTGTTTCATCCAACCTGCTTCAATAGCAACCCCTTCATGTGATGTATCCTGTACCATGTACTGCCTTCCTTGTCTAGAGTTGCACAATGCAGAGAACTCTCAGGACTGAGCTAGTCAATCAGACTCCCTTCCAGTCCAAGTTGGAGGCTCATGTCTCATGACTAAGCCATTTCTTGAGCCAATATTTCAAAGAATAAACAGGAAAGAAGGTATGTTGGAAGAAAAAAAGTGACTGCTTAAAAATAAAAAGAAGATAATTCATGACTTTGGCACGGACACCTAGTTCGTCGTGGCATGGGAACTTGGATTAAAAGTGGTTTTGTCTGTTTTTGTCTGTGTTACTCATAATTTTGATGTGCTGTTATTAGATACATCATAGTTCAGTTTTATATTTTCCAGATGAAAAACAAGGCATCTTTCCCATTATGAACTGTTCCTCTTTACCTTGAAATGTTCCTTCTACTTTGATAAGTACACCAGCATCCTTGTACCTGCTCTGAGTATGGCATACTTTCCTCCTTTTGTTTGCTTTGTGTTGACATCTTCATATTTAACATGCATCCCTTGTGAGGAACATTTAAATGGTTATTGTTTTCTGCCAAATCTGACAGTTTCAGTCTTTTACTTACAGGTGTTTAGTGCATTTACTTTTAGCGTAATTAGTAGAAGTTGGAATTCTTGAGCATTTCATTTTATGTTATATTTTTATTCTCTAGGTTTTTTTTGCCTTTTTATGTTAATCAAATGTTTTATAAATATATTTATTTGCTTTACTGGTATCTTTAAGCTCTACTTTGAAGGGATGCTCACAATAAGCTTGCTTAATGATAGTGTCTGTTTAGAATCTATACTATTTAGGGAACTTTACATGATACTTTTTATTCTTGATAGCTAGTATTTCTTTCTTTCCATTAGATAGCTAATACTGTATCACTCTAGTGTTTTATAATATTGGAATGTGATAATCACACAACAACACAATTCAAATTCATTCCATACTTTGGGAGATTACTGCTACATCTCTTACTTATGTTACAAATCTATATGCAGTATTTTTAAACTAGATACAAATGTTTAGTTTTTTAAAATAATGTTTTTATTTATTCTTTCAAATTCCCATACATTTGTGCAATGTATTTTGATCCTGTCCATCCATTAATACTTTCTCCCCAATTTCTCCTAGTGCCCCCCACCCCAAATTATTCTTCTTCTATTCTTCTTCTTCTTCTTCTTCTTCTTCTTCTTCTTCTTCTTCTTCTTCTTCTTCTTCTTCTTCTTCTTCTTCTTCTTCTTTCTTCTTCTTCTCTTATTTTTCTGTTATTAATAACCCCTGAGTCCATTCATTGCTGCATGTATGTGAATGGGCATGGGGCCATCTGTGTGGACAGGAACAACCCACCAGTAGTCATGACCTCAAATCCAATGCCAGTGATCTCAGGAATTTCCCCCCATTGATATTGGAATACTGATGTCTGAAGTACTGAAGTCTTATGCAGCTCCTGGGAGTTCATGTATGCAGTACCATGTCATGGATGAAGGACAGCATTCCATAGCACTTCTTCCCATCTTCTTACCCACCCCACCACCTTGATGGTCACTATGCCTCCCATATGGGTAGGGTGATATAGATGATTTAAATACTTGTTTTTTTTATAATACATTATAATGAGTAAAAAAAAAAGTGTAACTTAGAACTATTTCCTGCCTGTTAGCCACTTTTGCAATTGTGTTTCCTTTATCCTTCAACCTGGGTCTTTGTCAGGTGAGGGCTTGTTCTGTAAGAGCACAGGAAATTGCTACTAGCAAGCCATCCTCACTTGGTTTGTGGGAAAGCATCCTTACTTCATTTTCAGTAGTGAGAGAGACTGTCAGCACATAGAAGCGAACAGTGTTTTCCATCCAGCTCTTTAAACCATCCTAGCCCATTGTCTTTGGTCCTCCATTGTTTTAATGAGAAACCAGTGATTTTTTTTCTAAGTTTTGCTTGCCTGTCAACCACCCATTTTCCCCCCATGGTGCTTCTGCATTTCTTTACTTCATTTGGAGGAATACAAGTGTAATCTGTCTTGGGGTCGTTCTCTGCTTACACTGCTTCAGTGTTGCTCACTTCCTTGAATCTCTAAAGCAGTTTTCTTATCCAATCTCTGATATTTCCCATCTTTATTTCTTCAAAGTATTTTTCTGCTCCAGCCTTGCTCTCCTCTCTTCTCAGAAGTCTGCCCCATTGAAGATGGCCCTGCAGAATTCTAGAGGTCTGTTTCTTTGTCTTCAATATATGCATCAGCTACTTTTCTCGTTGTTGTGCCCAAACACCCAAGAAGAAGCAACTTAAGAGAAGAAGAGCCTGTTTGGGTTCGTGTTTGAAGCTATGGCCATCGTGAATGACAGGCTTGAGAGTGCAGGAGGCTCCAGGCATCATGGGCGAAGTGTGAAGCTGTGTGAGCATATCTGAGCGGGTCACATGGTGGCAGGAGCATGAAGCTCCAGAAACAGAGGAGAGAAAGTGGGCGGGACTAGAAACCTCAAGACCTCCCCACAGCGATCCCCTTTTAAAGGTTCCTCAAACTCCCCAAACAGTAAGACCCTTCCTAGAGGACAAGTATTCAGACACATGAGCCTATGGGTAGATGCTACATTCAAGCCACGACAATACTCCTTTTTCTACACCTGAGGCTGGCCTTTTCAATAGATTTGATCATGCATTTTCATCTCTTTACTATCTCCAATCTGCCGTTAGACATAATAGGCAGAGTTTGAACTTTCAGCTATTTTTTTTCAAGTCTAAAATTCCCATTTGGTTTCATCTTAATAGTTTCTAGACTTTTGTTCCTGTTTCTTATCTGTTCATTCGTGAGAAACACATTTTCCTTTAATTATTTGAAAATATTTCTGCCAGTAGTTTTAAAGAACTTGTCTCCTAAGATCAGAATATAGGCTACCTGAAATTAAGTTTAAGTTGCTTGTATTTCTTCCCATGTCTAGTGATTTTGGACTCAACAATGGACACTGTAAATCATTTATTTAGTAACTCCGGATTCTGTTATCTATCTTTGAAGAGAATTGACTGGTTCTAGCAGGAAGTTCAGTTTTCAGATAGCCGCGTTACCTCATTTTCATGCCCTCTTTGTCTGGAACTGTGGAAAGCATGTGGTGCTCCCTAGGCCTGGTAGCTTGTCATAATTTATATACGTTTTGTTAGCAATACTGCAGATCCAGCCCAAGATCTTGTATACACAGGCTAGGCAAATTATACATCACCCAGCTACATTTCTAGCTAACTTACTGGAATTTTATTTATTTATTTATTTATTTATTTATTTATTTATTTATTTATTTATCTTTTTGTTTTGTTTTGTTTTTTCGAGACAGGGTTTCTCTGGGTAGTTTTGGTGCCTGTCCTGGATCTTGATCTGTAGACAATGCTGGCTTTGAACTCACAGAGATCTGCCTGTCTCTGCCTCCCGAGTGCTGGGATTAAAGGCGTGTGCCACCACTGCCTGGCTGGAATTTTATATCTAAATTAAAAGTTAATGTGTGCCTTTGGTTTTATAGTTTTACTTGCATGTTCTAAAACAGCTCTTATTCCAGGATGGTAAAACTCTTGCTCAGAAATTCAGCCTCTGTGAAATCTCAGAGGCTGTCCACACTGTTAGAGCGTGTTCATGTGGAACCTTCAGTGGGTCAAGGTTGTGACTCTAGCATGCTCAGGTCAGTATTCTCCCCTTCCTACGAGGCCACTGATGCTCCCATGCTGTGTCTGGTTGTGTTTCATTTGCTGTAAATGAGCCTCATTTGTTCTGATCTTGAACATGCTCAGCCCAGCCCTCAGACACAGACTGATGGGGTTAACCATATCAATTCTGGGGGGCCCTCTTTGCACATCTTTCTCCCACCTGATGCCATCCTTGACCCGGAAGGAAAAAAGTCACAACAGTAAGGTCAATTGCTAATTTTGCACAGCAGGGCAGCAGATACAGTATGTACAAGGAGAAAAATCTAGAACAAGAGAATAACAGCTTTGCTTACAGTGGTGCCTTCAAAGGACCAACAGTGAAACTCTTCCACACGGCCCCTGCTGGGGAGGGAGGGCAGAGGGCTTTGTTTTCACTTAGACATTCTTTACGATTGGGAATGACACAATGTAGTGGTGATTTCCTTATTACTCAATAGACATCATACACACTTAGTCCTTTCAGTCATTATGCCTTCCCACATCATCGCATGTGGGCATTATTTTATTTAAAGATATTAAGTAGGCTACCATCTAAGTCTGGCTGTGTTCAGTTCTCCATGTACATGAGAGGAGCCCCACTCAGAGCTGAGTCCCACCACGTCTCCCAGGGTATTTCCCTGTATTTCAGTTTGCTGCCATGTCAGCACAGCCTGATTTATCTTAAGCAAGCTCTGCAAGCTGGCTAGGCACCTAGACAAGCATGCGAATTTCAGTAAATAATAGGAAATGTTAAGAGAACTCATCATGTCTGAACTGGGAGACAGACCAGACTGGGTGTGAATCCCTAATTCCACCATCTTGGCTCCTTCTTTTTCTTCTTTCTTGCATGTCACCTGGTTTCTTGCTATCCTGCAGCTCCTGCAATAATAATAAAAAAAAGGGTGAAGAATCAATTAGAAATGCCTTTTACTGTGTTCCCGTCCTTGGCAGGGGCAATGTGGCGCCTTCTGCTCTCAGCAAAGACTCTGGGAGGGTTGTGTGGGTTTAGAGGCTCAATTAAATGCTCAGAATGGTTTCTTCTCTAACCATGTGCTCAGCGACTTGGTCTTTAAGATGGCATCAACATTTACGGTTTGAAACTTTGGGAGGAGTGTGGGTTGTCACTGAAATAAAAACAGAGCCTTCCCTGGCTTTATTGGGGAGTTTTTGTTAGGGTTTGCTGTACTTTTCACCTTGACATTTATGCTAAAATTTAGAGTGTTTGATCTCCCCTCCTCTGCTCCCTTCCTCACTCGATGAGGAGAATAATAAGATCTTTGCAATAGTTGTGAAAGGAGGAAAAAGAGACAACCGTGGAGATGTTTCCCTGTAGCTCATTGCAAGGCAAATGCAATTTTAAGCAGTAGGAAAAAATCCTTCTGGGGTAGATAGGAAATAACTCTGGAGAGGCCAATGCCTGTAATTTTGATCCCGAAATTAAAAATGCAATCATTCTGCACACATTTCAATCCAAGCCTGTGTCTTTAGTTATTCTTTATTCTGATAAGATAGTACAAAATTCTGTAGCTTTCTCTGGGAAGAAAATAACTGTACTCACACAGTCACACATCCGGCACTGTTCTGCTTTCTGGAGGCCGGGCTACTTTTGGCTCTGGGTGACTAGCAGCGTGTTTCCCCTTGAACACGCTGGGGATGTGGGTTAGGGAAGCACTGGGTTATTTGTAAGCTTGTTGCAGGGAGAGGTCTGACAGGGAAAGCAGGGGAAACTGCCTTAGCAGAAGCTGCAGTGTCCTTTTCAAAGACGCAAAACACAGACTTTGAGAGTGTTTGCCTTAAAGGACATGGGACAAAAGGAATCACCCAGGGCCACACAGTTTTGACAGAAGATTGCCCCTCACACGGCATGGACAGACCTGGGTAAAACCTTTGAGTTCAATGTGATGATGGTGAAAAATATTCCACAAAACACACACACACACACACACACACACACACACACACACACACACACACACACACTGTGTACTCTAAATCATAACATGCAAAGCTATCTACTTCCTGATATGGATGTCATTTCTTTTCTAGTTGTAAAGTCTCTAGCGCTGTTCATTAAGGGTCTTGGTCCTCCTGTCCTGTCTCCCTTCACATACTTGTCTGAGTTTGGGGTAAGCCAGCAGCTACTGCAGGTTGCTGTCAATAAACCGGAGACAGGAATGGAAAGGCGAGAGCAGACATTGTGCAGACACACCGTATCTGGAGACACTGATAAGCATCCGGCCCCAGAGAGGATGCTGTGCAGGTGAGAGTCCCGGCTGAGGCCTTGTTGCTTGCTTTGGCCTTCTGGGGACAGGACAGAGTCTGCTTAAAGGGGGAATCAGGAAATGGTACCTAATCTATCCCAGGGTTCTGAGAGGGAAGCATGCAGAATGTCGGCTTCAGGAGACAGATAGATAAGGAAGGACATTTGGAAATAAGAATCAAAGCTGAACAGGAAATGCTAAGAGGTTAGGAGCCAAAGTGCACTTGAAATTAGAGAAAGGGCATCTGCAAGACGACATTTACCAGCTTTAATAAATCTACCTCTTTTTTATGCTAAATCTTCGAGTTTCAGAATTACTTTAACACTAATTCATATTGTAAAAGTAACATGTGGGGTGTAGTTCAAAAGTCAACCCACAGACAAAACAAAGCCACCACCCCAAGGTAAAGCTTGCTGCCCACACAGCCGTACCCCCACTCAGCACATTGAATTGCTATGTATTTGTAGCTGTGTTTCTTGTGTAAACACCTGGGAAGTTTATTTTCTTACAAACACATGCACACAAGTGACATGTGCATGCTGATTCTCTTTAGCGTTTGGAGGTAAATAAAGGCACATGTTGGTAGGTAATCCTCGCATTCTGCTTTGCACAGGACCCCATCTCTTAATGGCATTATAGATGATAATGTGTGCATTAGCCACAGTGCCTTCAGCAGCCTCTTTGTGTATTTTTTTTTCTCGCCCTTTTCAACATTGAGAACATCCATATATGTGTCTTTGTGGACTTTTAACTGTAGAATAAATTCCTGAAAGTGGAACTGATGGGCTAATTTCATTTGAGAATAGTAATCCTATTTTTATAATCCTTTTAATCCTCTCTGCCGGGCCCATTTGAGAGGGCCTCTTTCTCAAGCCCCCTGGCCTTGATAGTTAATGATTGTTTTTTAAAGACTGTTTCAATTGGCATTTACTTAATTGTATATTAAGTTGAAAGTCTTAGGCTTTATTCAGTGTGTGTTGTTTTTCCCCCGTTACCGCTGCTCATTTTTTTTCCCTCTTCATTATTTTCTTTTCCCTACTGATTTACAGTTTGGGGCCATATGTGCTACAAAAGTTTTTCCTTAACGAAATACCTTTTGCTTACATGTCTTTTTTCTTTTACTTTTGATGAACTACTGTTCCTACATCATATACATTTGGAGATAATATTAAGAATAGAGATACTATCCTTATACTTTTAATATTTCTCTACTTTGATATTTTACATTTCCATGTTTGATCTATCTGGAAATAATTTGGGTGAGAAAAGAAAAGGTAGAAATGCCAGTGTCTGCCCTTTGATCTTTTCCTTGTGTATCTGAAAGGCCACCTTTATCACATTTAAAATTCCCAGGCGTATTTTATGCTCGGCCTTTGGGCGCCTCTGCCCCGTGTCTGCGCTCCCTTCCGGGTCCCATCTGAAGGACGTGGATCTCTGTGGCTCTCATGCTCGCTTTCACATCTGTTATTTCATTGAGCGGGCTGGATCCCTGGGTTTTCTTGTTCTTTGACCACTCGCTAGACTCTCCAGAAGGTTCATCTTCTTTTTCTCAAGCCCCTCATTGGTTCTGATTGGGGTTGTAAGGCTTTTAGACTGAGTCCGAGGGAACTCACATTTCACTGCACCAAACCCTTCTAGACAATTGCAAAATGTGTTTAAATGTTCTCCGTATTTCTTTGATGCCCCAGTATTTTGGGTTCCTTTTGTTGTTGTTAATTTTTTTGCTAACATTTACAAGTATTATTTTCCTCGTTGTCTTATTAGGTGTTTATTTAATTTACAGGAAAGCTGTCGATTTTTACATATAAATTTTCAGGCCAGTGTATTAAATTTTCTTACTGAAGTTACACTGAGTTTGAAAACTCCTTTGTGTATGTGTATGTGTGTGTAATTTTTTCACTTATTTAAGATTTATCAACAATTATTTAACAGGTTTATCAACAAATCTGCTATTTTTCTGATTCTTTTCCTAAACTCTATTCCACAGAAATGCATGTGCGTGCGCGCGCGCGCGCGCGCACACACACACACACACACACACACACACACACACACACACATACACGCACATTCACAAATCCTTTACTTTGTTCTCAGTGGCAAGTGGGGTCATGAAGAATTGAAATGTTCCAGCTCGTCATACACTGGCTGGCCCAGAGGTGGCACTCAACCAGTCACAGTGAATGAGTCAGTGCCAGGATCTGGGCATCCAGAGGAGCTGGGAAGGCTCCAGTAACACCTTGATGCTGATGCCGCCTCCTGGCAGCCATGTTCTTCTTCCTTGCCTGGCTCCAGCAGCCTGGGACTCACTGTACAGCAGCAGGAGCAGCAGCAGCGAGGAAACCGTATGGTGACTCTGAAGAGGCAGTTTCTAATTTCCTGAGAAAACTGGACAAAGTGCGGACCCTCTCCTGGTGTAGAATGGAAACAGAAGGCATGCTCCTTACAGAGTCGGGGCCAAGGCCAGCTACAAAACGTCACCCCTCATATGCTAATGTATTTATTTCATTGTAGGACTTTGTGGCTTGTTAAGCATTCTGTTTTCAGGTTATTAACAACTTACATTTTTAAAGGCCATAGAGTTTGTTGGATTTTATTTTCTATTCCCTGTAAGATAATCATATGGATGTGATTTTTTTCTCCTCAATAATTTGTGTGTGAGCTAAATAACATTAACAAATTTGATAAGAAGTAAATAAATTATCCTTGTGTCTCTAAGATAAATCCTACATTCAAAGGTAACTTTGGATAGTGTAACTTTTATTTGCAACTATTATGCTTAAATTTCTTTTTCCTTCTTCCTTTCTACTCATTTATATTATTACTTTGTTACCTTTTTGACAGTGTCTGGTACTGGGGCCAAGGCAGGCTTCCATCGCTAAGCAATCCTGAGGATTGGCATTGCAAACAGAGCTGACACACCCAGATTATACCTAGGAATCTTGAATCTGTGTTAATAAAGAAGACAGTTTAATTTCCTTCTTTTACAATGTAGTTTTCAACATTGTAGTTTATAAGATATTTTACTTTTATTTGTAATTTTGTATATGTATGCCTGTGTATGTTTGTGTGCATGAGTACTGTGCCTACAACAACCAGAGAAGAACATCAGATCCCCTCAAGCTTGTGTTACAGGTTGTTGTGAGCCACCAGACCTGGGTACTGGGAGCTGAGCTGCAGGAATAGCAAACATTCTTGACCAGTGAGCTCTCTGGAGCCCTACCAGGTGGGGTTTTAGAGCTTTCCCAAGCATGCATAGCTTAGAGGCTTTCCCCTGTTTCTGTTTGCTGGAAATGTTCACATAAAATATGAAATAAGCGTTTCTGCAAACTATGGGTGTAAACAGGATAGTTGTTTTGAAGATTTTTATGTTATTAAAACTTTTGATGTTTGTATGCATTTATTATCTTTTATGCGTGTGAGTATTTTGCATATATATATATATATATATATATATATATATATATATATA